CCCAAGCATCCCCAACTCAGCTGCTGCTGAAACTGATCAGCAGCTGATTCCAGGAAGCCCGGGGCAGAGCAACTCTGCCCCGGGCTTCCTGTAGTCAGCGCTGGTCAGTTTCAGCAGTGGCTGAATCTGGATGCCAGTTCCGACTTACATACAGATTCAACTTAAGAACAAACCTACAGTCCCTATCTTGTACGTAACCCGGGGACTGCCTGTATACATAACCAGCTTACAGTACCTCCTAATACTCTGGCATATCTGATAATCCGGCACCACCTAGGTCCAAATAGGTTCCAGATTATCAGAAGTCTACTGTATTTGGAGCCAGATCCTCCAGGTACAGTCCTGGCCCTCTAGTGACTGTTTCCATTCACACCATTCCACTAACCACAGATCCGTCAGCCCAGGCCTGCTCAGCTGCATTCTGAATGTATTTTTCTAAGTCTGGGCTTGTCTATTGAGGTTTTCCTACGCAGAACTGCAGGGGATTACGAAGGCAGGCAGGACGAGCCACACGGGTGTGACTCAGCCAGGCAAGAGTCCAGTTGTGCAGCGCTCCATGGGCTCTTTCCGATCTGGACCACTTGCTACCCGTGCTCCAGGCTTTACCCTCTGCCAGGGCCTTTCCTAGGCATCGAACGCCTTCCAACCCCAAATGAATAGAGGTTAAAGAAACAGATTCCAGTTCTGGTACACAAAGGCCGTTAATCACACACGGGAAAGCAGGAGGTCACATGAAACATTAAGCAGAACGTGACCACGGTTAGATGACTAGTGTCTAGGAAAAGTGCACCAAGTCAGAGGGCCCCACACTTGGCTGGGAGCCAAGTGGGTCTGGGCAGCGCTACCTCCCCATCCTCTGGGGGGGGGCCTAGGGATGTTAAAATAGCGTAAGACGGTAACCACGTAACCCCTGAAAGTCTCAGCAGTCCCACGGCTGCCCGTGCTGTGGGTTAGCTTTCTATTGCAGAACCCGCAGCGAAGCCTTCCTGGGGGCGGGCCTAGCAGCCCTTGCCCACTCAGCTCCAGGGGAGGCGGCTTCCCTGAGCGCCACTGTCACCGTTAACAGAGCAGGAATTCGTTGTAAGCTCTGTTACACAGCATGTATGGTTAACCAGGATGGAACTTTTATACACTGGAAAACCCCGACTCAATATCAGGCCATTAACAGTTCAGATTCAGTCGTCGCTGACACCTGCACAATTCCCCCTCCTACTCCGCTGGGCCCCATTTCTTCTTCCAGTACGGGCTTGTGACGGGTTTGGGACCTACCTCCGCTGCGGCTCTGCATTTAAAGTGTATTAGGAGCCAAGTGGGCAGGCAGCCCGGCTCAGTTCCAGCTTGTGCTAGGTCCAGGAGCTCAGACCCTCCCCACAGGGGCTGCTGCCTCCCCACACTGCTGCCCCTTTATCAGAAGCAGCAGGGTGACAGGCAGCCAGTCCACGAGGGGGCTGGTTTTTAAACTGGCTCCCCTCACGGATCAGTTCCTGCCTGGCACCCTGTGCTGCTGCCTCAGCCACAGAGGGGCAGGGAGCTCCCCGGGAGTGGGGCCGGAGGACACTGGCTGCCGGCCCCACCTCTGGGGATTATCGACTAACCAATAAGAATTCATGAGGTTACTCGACTACTCAATCAATATTTAACATCCCTACTTCCCACAATGCCCCACCGCTCCCGGCACCTCCTCCCTGGGGGGCTAGAAACGCCGACACCCTGCACCTGTCTGTTCCAGCCAACCCATCCACTTGCATCTTTCAGTGCTCACCCCGCCTGGGAGGCCCCTCGCCGTTGTGGCCACGTTCAAAGGATCCCACCTGTGGGCCTCATGTGGAGCCCTGCGTAAATCCAAACCACACCGCGGGCCACGGACAAATGGGCCACGGGCCGCACATGGCCCACGGGCCGCACATGGCCCACGGGCCGCGTGTTAAGTAGCCCTGCCTTATAGAGCAGTAACCCAGCTAAAGGAAGGACACAGACTGATGGCCCAGCACCAGCAGTCCCAGACAGCCCGAGCAAGACCGGGGCTTCTTGGCATGGAGCCCCTGACAGTAGAATGTAAAATAGACAACCTTACCCTGGATGTGCAGATGACTTCCCTAAGGTTGATGTTCATCCAGTTATCACAGCTCACTAGGTGACCATTGTACGTTTCACCATTTTTCAATTCCACCAGCTAAGAGACAGAGAAAGTCAAACACAATAACCAACAACTGAAATTCTCAAAAGCAGACAATTTCAGGTAGTATTTGAATCAATTATTCCTTAAGAGGGTATATGGGCAAGAGAAGTGTAGGCCCAGTGTAACACTGAAAAAGAGGAAGTGTACTTTTCCTAATCAGTGTATTTGGGATATAAACAAGACACACACCAAGAGGTATACCACACACTACGGCTGTGTCTAGACTGGCCAAGTTTTTTCCGAAAAAACACCCCCTTCAGGTAGTATTTGAATCAATTATTCCTTAAGAGGGTATATGGGCAAGAGAAGTGTAGGCCCAGTGTAACACTGAAAAAGAGGAAGTGTACTTTTCCTAATCAGTGTATTTGGGATATAAACAAGACACACACCAAGAGGTATACCACACACTACGGCTGTGTCTAGACTGGCCAAGTTTTTTCCGAAAAAACACCCCCTTCCGGAAAAAACTTGCCAGCTGTCTACACTGGCCGCTTGAATTTCCACAAAAGCACTGACTTCCTACTGCAAGAAATCAGTGCTTCTTGCGGAAATACTATTCTGCTCCTGTTCAGGCAAAAGTCCCTTTTGCGCAAAAGGGCCAGTGTAGACAGCTCAGATTTGTTTTGCGCAAAAAAGCCCCGATC